GTGCCCCTTAGCTATAAGAGAGCTGTGAGAGTGTTTATGTAAGACTGAAGTGAAATCCTTCGGATTAATGAAGTTCACGCCGTGCAGTTTTAGCCTCAGAGCATTCGTACCATCTTCTCTGTCTACGAATGTTTTATAGCTCAAAGAATTTGAATATTTTTAGTAAATACCACAAAAATCTGGTTATATTGCACGTCGGAAATTGCACACCCCTCTCGGGTGTAGCCTGTCACTGTAAATAAAAGTCAGCACACAGCAGTTACTGCACCAGCGAGGGCAGAGAATAGGATTGATCCAGACAAAGACAAACGGCTCATTGTGCTTGGTTGAGTTTTAAAAAGGACGTTGGCACAGACAATGGGAGAGTGCCAGAGGCCATGTGTCAAAGGACAAAGTCTTCTTCTGTTTGGCTTCTCTCTTAGTTGACACCGGCCTGAGAGCTGCAGGTGGCAGCCTGTCACAGCAGCCCAGGGTAGCTTCCTGTCCCTAAACAATCCAGGTCTGTCTGTGTCTCACTTACACTGATCACCTTCTCAGCTGGATGGAGTTTCCCTGCTGTGTAACCTGCACTCTTGAATCGCAGGAGCAGCTGTATCAATTTGCACCTACTCCTGTCACCACGAGGGCAGTGACTGGATTTAAAGCTGCAACCTCATCTTACTGCTTCCAATACCATTGTCACGGAAAACAACACCCAGTGCTTCACCAAAGCCCCACAGCTCAGGAAAATATAAATGAAGCAGATTTGTATTTTCCTTCTATCTCGACTAAAATAAACCAACAATTAACTAATTAATTTGAGGTGTTGTGTTCATTTAGAGTTAGAAACCATCATTATCAGTCTCTTGAGTCACATTTCCAGCCTTGTGTTTACTCTCCTTTAGCTCTGTTTTGGTCGCTACCATTCTTCCTCAGCTGCTACACGATCAAGTACAATCATCAGGTGCTCTGTAAATAAGTGACTGTTGCATTTGATAAAAACAGACTATTAACTTGAAGAGTAAAATTATGGACTAGAAAGCTAAACAATGGCCTGAAACTCACTCACAAAAGCCCAGAAGAACTGCAGAGTCCAGCACTAGTTATTTGTTATCTTTTATCATATCTGTATCTTTTTTAATTGGTTTGGTCGACCTCTTCTCAAACTGAATTTGAGAGTTATTCAATGATTTAATCAGAATTAAGATGAAAAGTTTTATAGGATCAAAGCAAAGGAACCAAATGGTCGTTTTTACTTTGCATTTTATTGCATTACTTCGCCTCCGGTGCAGCTCGACCAACAACAGCCCGGTCAGAGAATTCAGATGAAGCAGCTTGTGTTTCACTGAGTCATGAAGCTCAGGCTGGAGACCTAAAAGCCTTTATACAAACGTCTCCATATATGTGAAATTATTCCAAAGGACCTGCAATTAGATTGTGATGCGTTACTTCTGTCCTGTTAGCACTGACACACCTGTTAGAGCAGGATTTACCCAGCTGTCAGAATGATTATGATAAAGAGTGATTACATTATTACACTAACAAACTACAGCTGCAGCGCTGCTCTGACAGACTCTTTGCATTTTATTTTGCTACTGCTGAGTGTAATATTTCATTCCTGCAATCATTTATTGTTTGATTATTTTATGAACTAATTGCGTTAATCCAGAAATATCAAAAGGAGACTGAGAAATGTTTATATAATTATGGAAATTCCTAAATGTACTACTTTATTTTGAAAATGAACTGCAACAGCAATTTAGAGTAAGCTGAGACTATTCTGTGTTATTTAACTTACATTTGAGTGTCTTTGGTCATCTTTAATCTGGAATAATTGTTTAAAATCACAAAGTTTTTATCATTTTTTTTAATCTCAGTCCATATTTCTGATTGACTGATAGGACGCTCCATGATAGCCACAAACTGGGGGCTTCGTATCTAAAATATTTACTACTTTATAGTACTACTATATAAGTATATAGACTGACAGAACATTGTTAAAGTTTTCACTGATTAGGTTTTGGAAATACAAGTCCAACCTGTCTTTGCAGGTGACGTAAATGCTTCCAACGTGTAAACATGGGGATTTTTACAGTAAAATGTGACGCATTTCCTGCTTTGCTGATCATTTCTAGTCCCCACACACCTGTTCCTTGTTTTCTCATCAAGCACATCCCGACCCTGTGATGCTAGAATCTGAGTATTTTCATCCGATACAGAGGCCAGCTTTCTGTTTTACTTCAGGCTTGTGTTTAACCACGGCTAAAACAAATCAAATCTTTGTAATCTCTCTGCAACTGTATGAATAGCTACAGTTAGAAATACTAATCTAATCTTCCTGATAGCCCGGGGTCAGGGTTCAGGTATGCTTATGGAACTTTCAGTTTCCTTAAAAACATTTACTGCAGACAACACACGGTGGAAAACACGACTCGGTCCTCCACATGTAAATACTCATGCAGGATTAGCAGAAAAGCAAAGAGAAAGCACGGCTCTCGGCTCTTAGTAGATTTGTCTTGTAGGGGAAACGTATAGATAAGTGCCCTTGGAATAAAAGAGGCTTTATGTGTACATGTGACAGGGGGTTAAACAGCTTTGTAATTGGTTTACTGTTTCAGGGTAGAATGCAAAGTCCATGGGTAATATCCAGTGGGTGATGAGGGGGAGGGGAGGTGTTAAGGAAATTAGCATTTAAGACATCATTTGGTTGTTGCATATTAGCTAAATGAACCAACTGTGTTTGAGAATAGAATAGAATAGAATAGAATAGAATATCCCTTTCATGTACATGTACGTTGCCGTGATGAAATAAATGTACTGAATGTATTTAAAGTGTCATCACAAACCCCAAACATAACTTTACTAAAAATGAAGGCAACTAGTTGCTTTATTTTATTTAAAATTAATGACTTTTTTCATTTTTTCACTTTTTGATTGCAAATTGTTTCCTTTTGCTTTCTCAAAGTGTCGCACTACTGACAGTATGTTTTTGCTTTGCCTCATAATGTTGCAAACCTTTAATAGAAACATTGAGCAGAGGATTATTTTACACTCTCCTCTATGTCTTCACTGACTCACGGTGTCACCGTTTTCCTCATCTATTTAATAGATATAATTTAATATTAACTACAAACACAGAAACAGCTTATTTTCCTTTTCTCGTCTTTTGTAAATAACAACTAGTGCAATATGATGTATGTCCACAGTCACAAACATGATGACACCGGCTGCACACATCCACAGTGAAAAACCTGAATCGAATATAATAAAATGAATAAGTGTTAATTAATCATGAACAATCTGTTTAACTACCTTCGAAAGAAAGAAAATCTCACATGAATGAAACGTTTTTAAGTCTAAATAACTATTTAAACTTAAAAATGTTTAATTTGGCTTTAGCAGGATATAAAAGCACAATGGATCAGCACCTTTAAATCCCAGTGCTTTTACAAAGCTTCTCATTCATCCAATCACCTGCGCTGCACGCTGGCGTGCCATTGCCATGCAGAGAGGGCAGAGCCTGAACCTCTGAGCCTGTTAATGATGGACAACTGGTCTGACGGGCAGAGCCGCGGTCACCGCAGCACGAAAATGCAAAACT